CCCCCCCCGTGGAACTAGCCTATATAGGAGTTTTCTTTTAATATTGCTAATTGGCCTTGTTTGCTAAAATGGCAGCGCTCTCACTTCCAAGCAAACTTAAGCTGATGAATGGACAGTTGCAATTTAGTATTGCTATTCTGTATGTGAAGCTCCTTCTGGTGTTGTGATAGGACAGATTCGTTATATAGAAAAATCCAGTTAGTTGATTTTGGTCAACAAGGCACGAAAAACCATAAACGTCTCGAGTACCTTTCATAACTTAACATGTTTTACTGTTATACCAAGTTCCTTCTGTGACACCTAGAATATAGGGAGCACGCGCATACAGTATTTGTGTGTAAGAAGTTGTGGTAGCTTGTATAATTTTGGTTTAATTCTGTAAGCAGAAGTTTAATTTTACACTTTGAGCAAATGAAACTTGCTGTGGTTACTGAAATAGGAAAGGGTATTATGTTTTACTTGTTAACCTACTTCCAGGAAAATCAAAATCTGAATGCAGCAGCCTAACAGTCAGGCTAATATGTGGCCACCGGTACCAGCGTACCTGTCCTTTCACCATTCAGTAACTTTGCTCCTGTGCTCTTACAGCAGTCTTAGGATTGTTTATGTTTGTTGATGTAGGTTGCCTATCCTGACTGTTGCCCAGTCTTGATCATCTCAGAAGCTTCACTGGAAGATCTAAATGGCAGGCTGGAGAAGAAAGTTAAGATACAGAACTTCAGGCCAAATATTCTTGTGACAGATTGCAGTGCTTTTGAGGAGGTAAAATACCTGTCCTAAATGTCTTTTTGAAGGCTCGAGTATGTTTCCTTGTAACTCGATTTCCTTCTGTAATTGTGCCTGCAAGGATGAGGCAGGCTGCTGCTCTATGATTTTTACAACTGGATTGCAGACAGATACGGTTTCTGCTCACGTGCATGTGAAACATTCAGGGCTGTGAATACTTATTTAGCTTAGCAAAGGATAAAACAGCTGTATTTAAATGACAGGCTGCTACTGAAAGCTCATCTTTAAGTGTGAAGTAAGGAAAGCTATGCATGCTATAATTGATAATTAACAATACAGATGAACGATTTGTAAATTGTCAGCGTGATGTTTATAGGCTTTGTGCACAAGAGTAAAACTGACCCTGGTGATACTGCAGTACCATCACTGCATCGCTGACAATATTCTAGTAGTTCAAAAAGCACTATCTAGGAAGGTATTTGGTGATGGAAGTGCACTAGTGATGGTGGCTTTTGAGTATTTTTATGTCATGTTGCCATTTTTCCAAAAATTTTGCTCTGAATAGATCTGATAATTTCCCAAATCTAAGAAGTTCCCAAAATGGGAACAAGTTTTTGTCTTCCGAGAAGGATTATGATAGGAAACTTTTGTAGGTGAGAAGGGAGAACTTACTTCCACTAAAAATTTCATCTTTGCAAAAATGGTGACTTAGCAGAGGTCAGATTATCACACATACAGTAAGAATAAACTTGCTTTTATGTTCAGATACGTGCATGCTACAGAACAGGAGGTATTACTTCTGTATCTTTCTTTCCAGATAGGACTACTAGTGGATCTTGAATTGGGTGAATCCAGTGACTGCAGGGTTTTCATTAAAATAGTACCATAATAGAACTGTCCTTATTTTGAATGTGCAAGTAAAGGTGATAATCTGAAATGGTACTGCTTCTTCTAGGAATGACTGTGTCACTCCTGGAAACATGGTTGCATGTTTATTTGTCTAACCTGTGCATCATGTTTACCCTCTCTCAGGATGCCTGGGAGGACATTCTTATTGGTGATGTGGAGTTGAAAGGGACAGTGTGCTGTGCCAGGTAAACATTTGAAACTTTTATTTTATATATTCTACAACTCTGTTTTATATAGATGTATATAGTGGATGATTTATAATAAGAAGCCGTTATTTATTTGGCACTGTCATTGCAGGTGTATTTTAACAACTGTTAACCCAGACACTGGGGTCCTGGACAGGAAGGAGCCCCTGGAAACTTTGAAAAGGTTGTAAAAATACCATTGCTTCTTAATCTGTGGGAGTGGATTTAGGCTAGATCCCAACAGATGTTAGAGTAGCGTTTTAAAAAGTGGTTTGAAGTATGTGTGGAACATAATAATGCAGTGTAAAGGTCTGTGTATATTGGCTTCTGTTCTGCTTTCTGCAATTCTGTATGCTAAGAAAATTCAGGAAGTTTGCTTTTCTTTCTTGCAAAGTTAACATTCCCTGTCCCTTTCATCTCTGTAAGGGTGAATGCCTGGGGTAACAGGTATTTAAGGTATTTAAAGGTCTAACTTTGCAACTTCGGCATTTCTTTTTATAGTCTTGTATGTGTATTATACACAGATGTGTAAATACAATCAGACTTTTTTTTTGCCTCCATTTGAGCTGCTTGGTTCTCTTAATTTTAATATTTATTGAGTTTTTAGTCTAGTATGGTGACCAAAACAGGGCATCACTATTCATATGTTCTCTCTCTCATCATTGATATTTTGATAAGAATTTGCTACCACTGATTCTAAAGAAGTGCTCTCTCTCTGCAGTTACCGCTTATGTGATCCGTCTGAGCGACACTTATACAAATCCAGTCCTCTCTTTGGAAGATACTTCGCTGTTGACAAAACAGGAATGATTCGAGTTGGAGACCCTGTGTACAGGATGGTCCAGTAATGAGAGAGACTTTGATCAGAAAATGCCTTTTCACTTTGATATGCAGATGTTTTTTCCATGATCACGGTCACTAGCGTAACTCATTCTTTGCAATAGTTCTTGTACTGTGTTCCTTTGTAAAGTGCAGGGGTTGGGGGGGGTTTAGGCTATGAAGTGCCAGTCATTTCAGATCATGTCATCTACTAGCATGCCTGTAGCAACCACATCTTTAGTTTTTCTGGAGGCTGTGACAGAAGAAACTCTAATCCAAGACAGACTTCACAGCACTACTGTGAGTATCATACCTCCTAAAATTTTATGTGAAGCTCAGTACTGGAATCCAAAATTATGTAAAGGGTTTTGCATCATGTATTAGATACATTCAGTGCCTATTAAGAACCACAAAAACAGTCACGCCAAGTGTAAAGTATGTTGGTCACAGAGCAGCCTTTGCAGGTGAACAAGGAGTGCAAATGGCAAGGCTCTGTCTTAGATTCCACCCTTTGGTCCTAAGCATCTTACCCTGCAGTCATTTCCTGAAGATTGCTACTGTCTTTCGAGATTGGAGCAATATTAGAAAGAGAAGAGCTGTGAGCTGACTAAGTGCTACTCTAGAGGTGGAACATTGGCTAAGGATGTGTAAGACTGGTGTGTGCGTTTAGTTTATGACCCCCGCTTTTAGAGTTTGAACCATCATTGGGTTTTTTCCTGCTGTGAGGCATACCGTAGCAACTAGGCTATAGGCTCTGAATATCCCTTTATGAGCAGGATGCTTTGTAAGTGCTAAGTTTTCCTGTGACAGACAAGTGCCCAATTTGGACTGCATGTTGCATATTTGTGCTTGTTTTATGCCTGATGCAGCAACTAGTGGGAGGAATTAAGAGAAGAAGCATATTTCAAAAAAGGAAAATAATCCTGAGGTTCACTTAACGATCCTTAATATTAGAAGCTGAAACCTTGTGGAATTCCTAATGGTATTATTAAGTGAAGACAGCCTGCTGGCCTGCCATAGCAATTAGTTAAGTGTGTGTCTTCATTAAGTCAAAGAAGCAGAAGGAATGAGAGCTGAATTTTTGCCTCTAGCTAAACATTTTTTTTGACTGTCATTTTAGCACCTCATTAGGATTTATGTAACACAAATTATGTGGTATAGGTCATGTTGCTTCTCATTAAGGTATTGTCAGTTGAGCTAATTTGGAACTGGGACTGTCTTTCCAATGAGAAACTGCACCTTCATTCCTCTTAAGAAAATGCCATAGATCTAAAACTCTGATATATCTCTGTAAAAGCCACTTAGAAGAATTTGGCTAGAATCCTAAACCAGGTATGTGTCTGCATACAGCGCATTTCACAAGTGACATTTGAATCAATTATGTGCTGAAATAGAGCCATTCCAGGAAGTGGAGCGTGTAACTTAGAAACATTACAATATAAATATCTTCATATAAATGTTGAACTGCTGTAACCATAGGAATTGTGTTTGATTTTGCTAAAGCCATTCAGGAAATTACTGAAAACATGTCAGTCAGTTTTTTAAATTGTGTATTTAAAAATGTTAGTTGCTTTTTTAACTCTAGAGGAAGAAAACAGAAGTATAAACTTACATTGAATTCAAACTCTTGTAAGGAGTAAAATTTGTGAATCTCCTTTTTTTCCTTTGTTTTCTTTTTTGGCATTCAACTTCTGCTGTTTTGAGGACCTTACATATAATTAACAGTGATGATAGTTATGATGTTTGGGGTTTTTTTAATCTTACCTCTAAGTTCAGGAAAATATGCAGTTAACTAGACAAAGCCACATGTGTAAGAGAGCAGAACTGTCAGATACAAGTGGTCTTCAGACTCAGTTTTACCACCCTTATGATCTAGATGGTTAAAAGATGTTGATCAGCTATGTTCTTTTCTCCACAGACATACAAAAATAGGGAAAAATGGGTTTGAAAGCAGGAAAGTTTAGTACACTTGAGTCACCACAATGTCATGTTGCATATTTTGGGTCTCAAGTATAAAGCCAAAACTTGTTGTACAGCATTTACTCCACCAACATAATTTCTTGCAGAAGACTCTGAGATAAGGCAGGCAGAAATTTCCCGTTTGCTTCAGATTTAAGGTGAGTACATCTTTAGCCAAGACTCCCCCCCAAAAAAAAAAATTTAAAAAAAAAATCTGTGCTTCTGTATCTTAAGGGAAAAAAAAGCCTTCCAAAGGCATTGCTCCACTTCTTCATACGAAGAGGTTCCTGGCCCTTTACACTCCAAATGGCAAAGTTTTCAAAAAGGGCTGCCACAGGGGTGTTAATTTCTGGTCTGTTCTAGCACCTTAAATTGCTTTATTCTTATTTTGAGATCCATAAGAACATCCCTGTACTGGGCAGCTGTAGGGCTAAGGACTGCACATGAAAAGTCTTTTTCTTTTGGTCAGAAGATTCTTAAAAAATAATGCAGGCATTGAAACCACCTGTGTATCAGTCTTTTCATCAGCTGGAAGAGAGGCAGCATTCATGCCTCATAAACCGACAAGGGTTGTCACCTGTAAACGTACTTCTGCTTTTCTTTACTTTTATTTATTGGTGTTCATTTTCAAGTCTCTTGAAACAGTGCCATGCCTGCCTGCTGGCCAGGCTGTTCTCTGGGCAGCATGTGGAAGACGCTCGCAGTGGCAAGGGCAGTGCTGGATGCTGCTGTGTGGGAGCACACAGTGCTGATCAGTGCTGGTGAAGTAGGGGTTGATACCTCGCAGCTCCTCTGCTGATGAGTTCATCTTTGAGGTTGTTATAACCAGAGCAGTCAAGCCTATCAAGGAAGCATGGACTGAACTGGTGGTGGAGGTGGATATCACGAGCCACAGATGAAACTGGTGTGAGGCCATGCATGAAGTGAAGAGAGCTAAGGAGGTTTCCATCCACAGCAAAGAGAAGGATGGTGTCA